TCTTCACTATTATCAACATATTCACTTTAAAGCACTATACACAGCATCTTCACTATTATCAACATATTCACTATAAGGCACTATACACAGCATCTTCACTATTGTCAATATATTCACTATAAGGCACTATACACTGCATCTTCACTATTGTCAATATATTCACTATAAGGCACTATACACAGCATCTTCACTATTATCAACATTTTCACTATAAGGCACTATACACAGCATCTTCACTATTATCAACATTTTCACTATAAGGTACTATACACAGCATCTTCACTATTATCAACATATTCACTTTAAAGCACTATACACTGCATCTTCACTATTGTCAATATATTCACTATAAGGCACTATACACAGCATCTTCACTATTATCAACATTTTCACTATAAGGTACTATACACAGCATCTTCACTATTATCAACATTTTCACTATAAGGTACTATACACAGCATCTTCACTATTATCAACATATTCACTATAAGGCACTATACACAGCATCTTCACTATTGTCAATATATTCACTATAAGGCACTATACACAGCATCTTCACTATTATCAACATTTTCACTATAAGGTACAATACACAGCATCTTCACTATTATCAACATATTCACTATAAGGTACTATACACAGCATCTTCACTATTATCATCATATTCACTATAAGGCACTATACACAGCATCTTCACTATTATCAACATTTTCACTATAAGGTACTATACACAGCATCTTCACTATTATCAACATTTTCACTATAAGGTACTATACACAGCATCTTCACTATTATCAACATTTTCACTATAAGGTACTATACACAGCATCTTCACTATTCTCAACATTTTCACTATAAGGTACTATACACAGCATCTTCACTATTATCAACATTTTCACTATAAGGTACTATACACAGCATCTTCACTATTATCAAAATTTTCACTATAAGGTACTATACACAGCATCTTCACTATTATCAACATATTCACTTTAAAGCACTATACACAGCATCTTCACTATTATCAACATATTCACTATAAGGCACTATACACAGCATCTTCACTATTATCAACATTTTCACTATAAGGTACTATACACAGCATCTTCACTATTATCAAAATTTTCACTATAAGGTACTATACACAGCATCTTCACTATTATCAACATATTCACTTTAAAGCACTATACACAGCATCTTCACTATTATCAACATATTCACTATAAGGCACTATACACAGCATCTTCACTATTGTCAACATATTCACTTTAAAGCACTATACACTGCATCTTCACTATTGTCAATATATTCAATATAAGGCACTATACACAGCATCTTCACTATTATCAACATATTCACTATAAGGCACTATACACAGCATTGTAAGGGCGGCGACTCTCTACTACTGAACCACCGAGCCCACCATTAATGGCGGGGCTTTTCTACTCTCCCTTATATTCTTATTTCATACTTCTTTCTGTGTCTTATTTCCTTCATTGGTTCTGTCTACATATTTCAGTTCATGGTTACTTCATAACCTCAGTTCTTTTGGTAGCATGGCGAAGGTAGGCACATGGGTACTGTAATTCTGGTATCAAGGTCACTTGGACGAAATATAGGTAAGCTGGGAAAAGGAAATACCCCTAACATACTCTAAGAAATGGTTTATTAATATGAAATCAAAGTAGGGAAAAAGATGTCATTAACATACAACTACAAGGCTCAACCCTTGGCTTTACTCAACTGCAATTCACTCAGATACTCTTACTACTTCTTACAACATTACTGGATGGTACATTACATTAACACACAGCTACAAGGATCAACTCCTTGGCTTTTACTTATGTGGAATTCCAAGTGGTTACATTTACTTCTCACACATTACTGGTGATACATTTCATTACATACATGACAAACTTACATATGGTCCCTTCACTAACTGTTGGCAGTGCATATTGAGGATGCTGTAGTGGACGTCTCCCCTACAAACTGCGTATCGCATTCCAATGTGCCGCCTCCCCTAGCAACCAAGCGAAAGCTGTCCCCAGATGTCACCGTATCCTAGCAACCGAGCCAAAGACAGGTTACTTCTCGGGTTTTCCCAACGTGACTCACGCTTGACTCACGGCTGCTGGGTATATAAGCTCTGTCTCTCCCTTGAGATTCATTCTGACCATTCTTCTTGAACTAGCAACACCTCCTCCTCCGCCGCTGCCTGGCTGCCTTAGCTCCTCCTCGCCTGCCTGGCGGTCCTCGCTCCCGCCGGCGAGCATGGCGACCCACCAGCTGTCCTTCCCTGAGCTTCCTCACCAACCAACTCTCATTCTGCCCATTTTCCTGAACAAGCAACATCTCCTCCAGCAAGCTCCACGCTGTTAACATTTCATTCAACCAGGAGGCCAGCAACAGGCAACATCTTCTCTAACGAAGCTCCTGCACATCTACCTCCTCCAACAAGCTACTCACCGCACGTCTCTACCAAGCAGCCCCTCACCACACAGCACCTCCAGCACCAGACTGTCTATCATATAACTTATATATTATACAAGAAAACCACATTAGAGTTTCCTTCCATCCTGAGTGCGAGACAACATTAATATCTCGATACCCCTACAATGCCCTCACAACACAACACGTTATAACTGATACTAACAAGTTTACATGGGATCACTACCCAACATGGGATAATTATATTCCAGATAATTATCCCCAAACCATATACAACAAACACTGTGGACCATATAACTTCAAGGTTTCTCCCAGAGTAGAACACTCAACAACTGATGACCGCTGTAGGTCGGTTGTAGTCGGTCACGAGGTGTCAGTCTGCTGTCCAGCCCCACTAGGCAGACTTGCAGTTTTAATCATGTCGAATCAGCGACATCGGCCACTACAGCTAACTGCTAGGTATCCACCGACTCCAGGCAGTCGGTGGGGTGTTCAAATAGCCCACACACTGGATCTGAGACAAATGTAGAAGCGTTACGGGAAGCATGATGATGACTCAATCACAACAAATCTTTCATCTCGCAACGTCAGACGAACATTTACGTTACTAGTAATTCTTACACTGAATAAATGACAATTTCACTGTTACAACATGAACACTGACACCCACAAAATTGACTAAGTCAAACTGAATGGCTATATCGGCGGGGAACACATGCTTACATGCCTAAGACAAATGTAGAAGCGTTATGGGAAGGACGTCTCTCCTCGGCATGGGTTTTTATATGTGGGAGTTGCCAGAGGTGGCTACTCACGCAATGACAAAAATCACAAACAAATAAACTGTTACACATTCAAAGACGACCTCAGTTGACAAGGGTCTGGCGAATTATTTAAGTTGATTTACATAAACTAATTCAAGATTGAGCTTGCCAGTAGATAGTGGAATAAACGTATTGACAACTGTCCTCACGAGGCGGGACTTGGAGGTGATCCTTGGTGTAAGACGCGTTTCTTCCTAGGGATGTTTTGCGGACGGGAAGTATAATGAGAATCAACAGATTTAAAACAGACCAGCAGTCAATGTGACCATGACAGCATCTTCACTATTATCAATATATTCACTGTAAAGCACTATACACAGCATCTTAACTAATATCAACATATTCACTATAAGGCACTATACACAAAATCTTCACTATTATCAACATATTCACAAGAAGGGACTATACACAGTATCTTCACTATTATCAACATATTCACTATTCACTTCACTATAAGGCACTATATACAATATCTTCACTATTATCAACATATTCATCATAAGGCACTATACACAGCATCTTCACTATTATCAACATATTCACTATAAGGCACTATACACAGCATCTAATATACTATGGGACGAGCCGTGTGTCTGTCTGTCTGTCTGTCTGTCTGCTCTAGGCAGCCGAAACGGCACAATCGTTTTCCATCAATCTTGGTGGAAAAATCGCAATAAATTCGTAGAATGGAACAAACCTGGTCCCATGTCGATGGTTTCTTTAGGAAGGCATTAATTAGCCATTTTATTTACGATGGAAAACAATGCAAGTCTACGGACTTGGCGCACCCTAATTAACCATGCAAGTCTACGGACTTGGCGCACCCTCATTTTCTGTACGCTAGCCAAGCACGAGCTTTCAAACTTTCACTGGGCACCAAGGTGCCCGCGATCACTTGTCTTCACTATAAGGCACTATACACAGCATCTTCACTATTATCAACATATTCACTATAACAGGGGTGTCAAACATGCGGCCCGACACACTCTTGCATGTGGCCCGCAGCTCATTTGCTGCTCCAGCCTTACCTTGAGGAGCTAAAACTAAATAGTGAGTGTATCACTCAGCCGAATAAAATAGTCTGCTGTTTCCTAGAACAAAATACTCAATCAACATAACGGATGAAAGAACAATAAGACTAGATATAGTTTTAACGGTGAGATGGGCCGACTGACTACTGTTCACGTATACACTCCGTACAGTACAGGTATTAGACATGAAAACTCTGACGCAGCAGGCTCTCTCTTGGCCAGTCATTCAAGTACTAGTCCTGCATAGTCGCTCTAAGAAGTTGGAATGTTGCAAATATCCAAAGCAGCAGTGATCATTGTTTTTACTTTTGAGCCCATAATTATGTTTTCAAAGAAAAGATCCGTTAATGAAGAGCGTCGGGTGGTAGAGGATAAGTGGAAAATCTTATATTTTTTGTTGAAATGAATGGAAAACCAACATGTTTGATTTGTAATCAACAAGTTGCTGTGGCCAAAGAATACAACGTTCGAAGGCATTATGAAACAAACCATACTATGAAGTACAATAAATATAGTGGAAAGTTACGTGAAGACAAAGTTAAGGAGTTGGAGCAGTCATTTAAAAAGCAGCAGTCAGTATTTAAGAGTGTTCATCAAGTCAGTGATGATGCAGTTAAGGTAAATTACAGGATTGCCCATGAAATAGCTGTCATCGAAGCCGTTTTCTGAGGGGAACTTTATAAAGAAATGTATGTTGATGGCTTCAGAAGATATTTGCCCGGAAAAACGTCAAGCATTTGCAAACATAAGCCTCTCAAGAAATACAGTTGCAGAAAGAATTGGTGAATTATCAGAGAATATTAACAGTCAACTCAAAGACAAAGTTAAGTCCTTTACTGCATTTTCAGTTCCAATTGATGAAAGTACCGATGTCAGTGATGTAGTACAACTTGCAGTTTTTATACGTGGTGTGGATGAAAATATGCAGGTAACAGAAGAATTTGTGAAACTGGAACCAATGAAAGGAACAACAACAAGTGATGACATCTTTGTGGGTTTGGTAGGGGCACTGGATAAATTAGGTGTTGACTGGGCACAAACTGTGAGTCTGGCTACAGATGGAGCACCGCAAATGGTGGGTAGAAAAGCTGGCGTGGCAACAAATTTAAAGGAAAAACTAATAGCTGTGAACCCGAACCATCAAATTTATAATGTGCATTGTATTATACATGTTCATGCGGTCCCCTAACTTAGCTACATCATCGGCAGTCGCTGTGCCAAACAGAGTGCTTTGGATAAGACCCACAAAATTAAACAATCCTCGCTTTCTTCGTGTTTGAGAACGCACTTTCTTTGCCAGATCATCCTGAGACGCTGGTATCGTTTTTCCGACAGCGACGAGAAGCTTGTGAAGGGTTCTGAGACAAAGCAGCTGAAGCTCAACAGCTTGTGAAACCATTGTCGAAATGTTTGGAGTTGAACGGATGTAAAGGCCTGGGACTTAGGGATAGAAATCCCTTACCAGACTAATCAGGATCTTAAAAAAGGAAAGTCAGGGACCATGGTTTTCTGAGGAATAACAAACAACCATTTGAGATTGACATCTCTTTACTATAAAAAATATAACACAAAACTCTGACACCACTCAACGAACATCAAATAATAATTACGGGAGTCAAACAATTAATGCAGTCAACAGTTAATGGAGTCAAACATTTAATGGAAGCAAACAATTAAAGGAAGCAAACAATTAATGGGAGTCAGCAATTAATGGAAGCAAACAAATTACAGGAAGCAAACAATTAATGGGAGTCAACAACTGATAGAATCAAACAATAAACAGGAGTCAGCAATTAATGGAATCAAACAACAAAAGAATCAAACAATGAACAGATATTTCCTACGGCAGTGGCCCTGGGGAGAAGGTTCTGGAACGTAGTGATCCACTCTCAGGTCCTCACTCGAGCGACAGCGGCCGATGTCTGGATATGGCAGGAGAACACCGGGGCACAGACGGAGGAGATGAACTGACGGTCGTGGTATAGGGTACAGAGGATTGATAGTCGATAGGTGAAGGTCTGGGGACACAGCCCACGAGTCCCGAGCCTTTGATGAGATCACAGCCAGAATTTGATGAACAGTGGGGGAGGTAGTGACTGTGCTGACGGCTAAGTAGGATCTGCCCCGGTGACGCTGGTAGCAGAGACATTCATACCTCTGTCCAACCCCCCGAAGTGGGGGTCGCGCCAGCAAACAAGCGAGTAAGCAGCGGTAACGAGCAGGAAGATTGTTTCCGCCACAACGGGCT